CACAGGTTGCCCTGAGAAGCTGTGGCTGCTCCATCCCTGGGAGTGTTCCAGGCCAAGCTGGATGGGTTGAGCAACCTGGGCTAGTGGGAGGGGTTCTGCCCATGGCAGGGGGTGGAACTGGATGATCTTTGAGGTCCTTCCAACCAAACCATTCTGTGATTCTATCATATACTTCTGTCTGAAGAAAATGGAAGTGGAGATCAACAGTCCATATTAGTCTAGACACAGCCTTTGAAATCCTTCTGATACTTACTGGCCCTTGAAATCTGCCCCCTATTTGGCTCCATGGAGGTGCACCGACCTGCAGTTTTACCTCCCCTGTGCTTCCAAGAGGTCTGTGACTCACCTGTCCGTCTAAGTTCTGCCTCAGACTTGGCTTCCTCATGCTAAGGGTTGTGAATTCCTTGTTTGAACCTATTTAGGAATGATCCTTGTGCTGCTGTTTTACAGTGCTGTTTTACCAGTTTGTTGACATTCCTGTCAGGAAGGTGAGAAAGTTTTATGTCAAGTCCTTTCAGCTCTTGGATTGAGAGAAGAGTATTGTAGCATTGCCACAGCTGTGGATGTTGGTTCCTACAAACCTCTGACACTGCCAAACAGCCTTTTTTCATTCCTTTGTTTGCCACCCTGCTCTCCATTGAAAGAAAAGACACTGGATGTGTCAGGAAATTCCTTTGTTGTCCTGATGACAGCCTAGTACTATCTTTAGCCTCATATTCTGGAATTGCAAGGCCCAGCCTTCCCTTTATGAGAATACATATGACCTGGAGGAAGAACTTTCCTAGCAATAAGGTTGTTGTTTCCACTCTGGAACCATGTGAATTGTTTAACTCTAAGATACTACTTCACCTTACAAGCCTTGGCCTTCTCAGAGGAGGAAGAAAGTTCCTATATATAACTAAAGTGCTGTGGAAACTACACGTGTGTCTCTCTAAATGTGAAGCAATGTGTCCCTGCTCAAAGCTGCTGCACACAGGTTAAGAGAGTTCACTCAGCAGTGACTCCAGGACAGTGAATGTGCTGTAAATCTACACCCTGGTTTCTCATGGTCATTTAGCCTATGACTACAAGACTGTCCCAGTGGATACACAGAGAGTGGGACAGTGTGTCTTGCTGCCTCATGGGCTGGTAGATCCTCCCTGAACATCCAGTCTTCCTCCAGCCTTACTAATCCCTTCCACTGCTTTGAGTGGAGCAGGAATCTCTCTGGCAGCTTTTGCAATAGGCAGAGCACAAGGTTCCTTTCTGTTCCCAGGGTACAAATACTCTTCCAAGTGACCAATGCCTCAGGAACCTGGAGGCTTGTTGGAATTTTTACTGCAGGTGCATGCAGGAACATCTGCCCCAAGGGCAAGTAAAACCTGTTCCCTTTACCATGTGCAGCTCCATGGCCTCCTCCCTCATACATTACAAATCATCTGTGGTGTCTAATCCTCTTTTCTCTTCCCAGGACAGCGTAAGTGATCTCCTGAAATTGCTTTCAGCTCTGGGAGGTAGGCAAGGAGCCAGTGGCCGAAGGAGAAGGGTTTGTCTAGTGGAGTCTAGAAGTTAATCAGGTTTTAACCCTTAAGTTTGATAGGAGCTGTGACTTTCAGAAGTCTGATTTCTTGGGGCTTAGGACCTCCTGTTGCAATAGCTCTTGTCAGCTTCACAGAAGTTTGCTTGATTTACTTATTTCTTATAATTAGATGTAACTAATGAAGCTTTCTTTGGGGTTCCATCCTCTGGGGAAGGTGCCTGGTACCCTGAGGAGTTCCTTTGCCAAAGTATAAACCCTCCTCACTCAGAACATCTTTTCCAAGCAAACGAATGTTCTGCCAGGATACTTACACATAGTCCTTTTCCTTTTGGGCTGGTAGTCATATGGAGTTCTGGTGTCACATACCAGTGAGCAAAATCCAGCCAGTAGTGTTTGTCTCTTAGACTAAACTTGTCTTTTTCCATTCCCTTGAGTGTTATGATCATTCTGGCATCCTCATGCAAGCTTAGATACACTTTCTCTGCTTGCCTTGCCTTCTGCTGCTTGAGTCAGGCTCTGGAAGTTGTCCTTCAAGTTTCTGCTTTCATTGTAGGACCTCAACTGAGCTTTCCTCCTTTAAAAACTACAATCCAGTCTCATTGCCTCTTTTGCAGACATTGTCCCCTTATGACACTGTGTTGTTCCATAGTGTCTGTCCTTGTCTAAAAACATGTTAACCCCACAAAACCCTATTAAACCCTCATTCAGTTCTCCTGTGTTGTTTTGTTCTGTTCTTGTATGTGCCTCGAGACTGTAAGTGCAAGGCTGGAACGCACTTTGTCTGATGTTCTCTCCCAGATGTGCTCTTTTGCAGACATTGTCCCCTTATGACACTGTGTTGTTCCATAGTGTCTGTCCTTGTCTAAAAACATGTTAACCCCACAAAACCCTATTAAACCCTCATTCAGTTCTCCTGTGTTGTTTTGTTCTGTTCTTGTATGTGCCTCGAGACTGTAAGTGCAAGGCTGGAACGCACTTTGTCTGATGTTCTCTCCCAGATGTGAGTTGTGGTAGAACAGAGAGGGAACGTGATGTGGTGGTAGAAGAGATGAGGAGCAGAACAGCACAGGAGTGCACTGCCTTTTAATCCCTTCAGCCAGGTGATAAATGTGGCTGAGGGCCACTGATGCCTTTATGTAGTCTCTTTGCCTAATCCAAGCTCACTTAGACCATACAAAGGTTAATTTGTGGTGCTGGCTGTTACTGATGTGATTCAAGTGGCAGTGTGAGAGCAGAGAACCCTGCCAGTTGTTTAAAATCTAGATCTTTTCCCCCTGTAATTCTGTGATGGCTCATCATTTTACTCCTAGTAAATATTTCTCATGCTAAGAACAAACTTCCTTTTATAGTATCCACATGCTGCTGCTTCTACTGAATCCAGCATGGAGCTGCTTCCTATTTCTGATTGTTCACTCACACTCAGCAGCTCCTGCGTGTTCACGTGTTCTGTGTCTCTTTCTCCCTTGGCTTTTTTAGCCTTGTTGATCTATTATTGTGACTTTAGCCAAACAGCTTTCAGCATTTAATGGGCTGAGAGCAGGAGTGAGCAGCTCCTTCCTCTGCCTGTGAGACCATGATGTCATCAGCTATTTGGGGTTCCTTTGCCATCCGCTGCTCTTGCTTTGGTGTATGTGGAAAGAATGTGAACAGCACTTTCCAGATGTTCTCAGGGCAGCTGGAAAGCCATAAATGGTTTGTTTTGTACAGGAATATTGCTGATCTGTTTAGGAGATGACAGTGAGTATAATCATAAAAACATACACTTGACAGAGCATGCACAGCTCTCTGTAGGTTTTTGGGACATTAAGTGAGTCCATAACTTGTTCAGGACTTGTGCTGGGAAGGTGAACTCTCTTTCTGAGTATGCTTCATAGTGTCTTAAGGGGTTGAAATGGAGCTTAGAGATCATCCAGTGCCAGCCCCCTGCCCTGGGCAGGGACACCTCCCACCAGAGCAGGTTGCTCAAGGCTTCATCCAACCTGGCTGTGAACACTGCCAAGGTTGGGGCAGCCACAGCCTCCCTGGACAGCCTGTGCCACTACCTGTTTCCACCTGCTCTCCTTCCCCTCTCTTCCCTTCCTTCCTTCAGTTTCAGCTCCTGAATGAAACACAGCAATGTGCTTCTGATCTCCTGCATGGCAAATGCTGGTTTGTTCATGCAGAGTGTCTCTGAGTTTTCTCAACAGTAGAAGAGTGAAGAAAGAAAGATGATCTAGTTTTAAACTCCCAGTATATACATATATATAATATTTGGAGTAGTAGGAACTCCTAAATAAACACAGGAGTGTTTCATCTTGGTGCAATATAGAGTAGGAATTTGGAAGCTGTTGGCTCTCATGCCTCTCCAGGGCTGGAAAAAGCATCACATCTCACCCACTTGTGGTCTATCCAAAATGGCCTATTTTGGGGGAGAACCACTCACTTCCTTCTTTAGGGTGGGTGAGTGTTTTTAATGCATTAATTAATTTTTATTGGGTAGTGGAAAGACTGAGGTCAGAGCTGCACTGTGGTCGGGCATGCAGGAACACAAGGTGGTAGGAAATAAAGCAGCAACACATGAGAGCAGAGAAAGTTTAACCATGGAGAGTTTAAAATAGCAAAGCTGAGCCAGATGGATATTAAAAGATATGACTGAATCAAAACAACAGGCTAATATTAACCTGGGTCTTGCTGGGGGAGTAGCAAACTTGTTTGGTTCATTTCTCTTGTGTATCCAGTGTCCAAGGTATGGTGCCTTGTTTCAGCACCCTGACCTCTGGCTTTGGTGTTGTCTATTAACCTCAGTACATTTGCAGATGACACTGTGTTTGGTGGGAGTGTGGATCTGCCTGAGGGTAGGGAAGCTCTGCAGGGAGACCTGGTCTTGATCAGTGGCTGAGGACAATTGCATGGGGGTCAGTAAGGCTGGTGCTGTCAGCATCCCTGAAGGTGTTTAAGAAACATCTAGATCTGGTGCTGGAGGATATAGTTTAGGGTTTAGGGGTTCCAGCAGTGACAGGTTAATGGTTGGACTTGATGACTTTAGGGGTTTCCAGCCTTGAAGGTTCTATAATTCTATGATTTCTGGCTAGTGCGGGATACAAACTATGAGGACAATATCGGTTGTATCACTGGGATTTTTTTTGCCAGGCATCTTCGTTCAGGAGTGTGTAGAATATCCTTTTCCTTTGACAGTGGTCTGTAAACTTGTCCAGCATGATTTCTTCCCTGGCTCCTCTCACAGTTCAGCTTGTACAGTTCCATGACAGCAAGGCAGGAGGAAGTGCTCTGGAAATTGGAGCCAAGAAGGAGCACAGTTACATAATTGTACAAAAGAAAAGGTTTTTTTGTTTTGTTTTTTTCCTTCTCATATCCTCCTGCAAACTGAAAAAATGTGTTGGAAAGCTGGATGGAAAAACTTCAGCATCATTCACCCCTGTGAGGACATGAAATGGATTGAAATGTTCCACCTGTTTTATGGCTGTTGCTTTTCCTCTTGCAGGTTTGACATCTACAGGAAGGTGCCAAAAGACCTTACACAGCCAACCTACACAGGGGCTATTAGTAAGTAACTTCTTTTTGATGTCCTTGCATACCCCTGGTCTAAAATTAAAGATCCTTTGGCTTCTCCATCTCTGGGGAATTGTTTTAAAGGGATATGAAACACTGGAAAGAGTTTGTTGCTGAGGCAGCTTGTTTTGCCCGGTGTGTGAGATCATGCTCAGCAGAGCAGTTTGCATGAATTCAGAATCATAGGGTCATGGAATGGTTGGGGTTGGAAGGACCTCAGAGATCATCCCACCTCCTGCCATGTGCAGGGTCATCTTCCACTAGCCCAGGTTGCTCCAAGTCCCTTCTAACCTGGCCTGGAATACTGCCAAGGATGGAGCAGCCACAGCTTCTCTGGGAAACCTGGGCCAGTGCCTCAGCACCCTCACAGCCAGCAATTCCTTCCCAATATCCCATCTAACCCTGCCCTCTGGCAGTGGGAAGCCATTCCTGTGTGAAGCCATTCCTCCTTGTCCTGGCACTACAGTTCCTACACAAAGGTCCCTCTGCAGCTTCCCTGGAGCCCCTTCTGATCCTGGAAGGCTGTTCTGAGGTCTCCACACAACCTTCTCTTCAGGCTGAACAGTCCCAACTCTCTCATCCTGTTTCCATAGAGGAGATGCTCCAATCCTCTTCTTAGCTTCGTAGCCTCCTCTGGACTTGGTCCAACAGTTCTGTGTCCTGTTGGGGACACCAGACCTGTCCACAATATTCCAGGTGGAGTCTCACCAGAGCAACAAAATCCCCACAACAAAAAATAGTGAGGATATATTTTCATGAAAGGGAACTCCTAAAAGCTGGCACTGAAATTCCCTCTCTGGTAGCTCTCAAAGTAGCTGGAGGGCTTTTTGCTGGTATCTTCCCATGAACAGAAGCAGTGAATCTGTGAAAAACACCTGGTACAAGCTGCATTCACAGCTGATGTCCCCAGGCTTGTGCTTGCTGAAGGGACTTGAGGAACCAAACTCCTGGAAACAGGGAATCCAGGTTCTGGATCCATGAGGAGCTGTGTGGGTGGCAGTGTGAGCTGGCCACTGGTGAAGATGAGTTGGGAAACGTATTTTGCTCGCAGGGTACTCAGGGGCTTAATCTGATATTGTAGGTGGGACTAATGAGCAGAGGTGTGGTTTGGTTGTTTCTTGTAATGCTTTTGAAGAGGAAACATTGCTTGGGCAGGAACCACCGATAGTGATCCACTCTCACTCTGTGTATCAATACATAGACTTTGGCTGATACAAATCTCTTGCCTTGGGCCCCTGTTCCTTCCTTCCTGCTCCTGAGGGAGGCTGGAGGCTGAGTAATGCAATTTCACACGATTATGTGCAGCGAGTGCGCTGTGTGGAGCAGTAAACATCGATCAGGTTGATCCTGCCAGGCCCGTAATTACCCTCCTAATGCAGCTTTCCTGTTCCATTGAGCACAGACTTCCTTTGATCATGGAGCTGTGCTCCATTCAGCCATTCCTGTAGATGGGTCAGTAGTCTTGTATGTCACTGCTGACGTGAGTGATGTCACATCCCTTGGTGACAGCAAGGCAGCAGCGAGCACTGAGTCAGGACCAGTGAATCAGTGGGCACAGAGGAAAGCCCTTTGTGAGCTTAAGAAACCTCTTGCTGTGAGGATGGTTGAAGACTTAGAACAGGTTGTGGTGTGGAGTCTCTGTCCTTGGAGATACTCAAAAGAACTAGCCCTGGCCCCAAGCAACCTGCTGTGAGCAGGGGAGTGGGATGGGATGATCTCCAGAGAGGTCCCTGCCAGCCTCAGCTCTCCTGGGCTTTGTATGAGCATACCCTAAATATTGACTGTCAGAGTCCTTCTCCTCGTGCTCTGCCCACTGAATTATTGTATCCCAACTCTCTTTTGGGTTTGCTGGAACTGGGAGCAAAGGGCTTGACTAAAACTGTTTATGAATTCAGAGGCATATGAGATTTAGTGTTTAGAGAGAACACTTTGAACTTGAGAGTGATTCTGCCTTCCCTTCTGTTTTGGAAACTAGGAGTTCCCACAGTGTAACTGAGCTCCCTTTGAGAGTTTGTCTTGTTATGAATCACCTGCAAAAGAGTATTTTAGAAACAACAAAAAACCACCATCAAAGGCCACACAGTGTTAGGCTTTCTGATCTGAAGTAAACAGCTCAAGTGATAAGTGTTGTGGGAAGGCTCAAAGGTTGTGACTCTTCCTTAAAATTATTAGCTGAGTTATTCCTCTATATTGTTATTTGCAGCTTCTTAGGCTTTGATTTTCTTCTCTAACTGGTTCTCCTTCTTTTTCTCAGAGAGGTTTCAGACAGCCTGATAGAAGCTTTTTGAACCACACAGGCAACCAACAAACTGGTGGCTTTGCCTGTGTGAGGATCTGGTGAGCAGCTTTCCTAATGGGCTTTCTGTCTGACCAAGCCTGTGGCTTGTAATTTGAAAGCCACTAATCTTACTTGTTGTAGGAGGCCATGAATGAGACCAACCCATTGCCAGGCCAGTTTGAAGCCTGGGAAGGTTCCATGATTTTGGGATAAACGCCTTAGGGAAGTCAGCTCATAACAACATTGGGGGCTTGAGCCTAGGGGAAGGTTCTCCCTCTCAAAAAATCTTTCAGGGTTTAGTAAAGATGTGAAATTACTATGGCTGCAGCTGGATTTTGGCTTTCTTTAAGTCCTCCAAGTTTTCCAGAGCAGATAAAATATACTCCCTAATAGTTAGCTATTAATTTAGGCTCTTCCCACATGATTTCTGCTGAAGCTTTAGTTCACGATCACTTCTGGTGCTGAAAGCTTTCTGGAATAGGAATGGATTTACTGCAGGATTTCTCCAGTTGCTTTTGGGTTGTAAAAAAAGCCTTTTTTTAAAAGTAGTTTGAGGTTTATTAGGGAAAAAAGCATAAATCAGATTACAGGAGGAAAGAGATGGAAAACAGCAGCTCTGTTGACAGAAGGGACGAAGAGCCAGGGCTGAATGGGCTTCTAGGGGAGAAGCAGATAAGGGAGAGAGAGTGTTTGGTATTTTGGTGGAGAAGAGAAGGTGATCTTGAACACAAGCAAGTTCAGAAGCCAGCTGGAGGGTTATTGAGGCTTCACTGGGTGTGGGTGTGTAATTGTCAAAGAGGCATACAAAATATTTCAGATCTGTTTAAGTTCAGCTAACTCTCCAGCTACAAACATGTTTTTTTAGGAATGAAGGACCCCAAAACAATTCACTACAGTTCACTTGGTGTGAAGTTTGTACAGAACAACATATCCACTGTTGTGGACTTCTCTGCAAAGTGTGTAGAAGTCACTGATCCTTTCTTTACTCTCTTCTTTGGGCAACATTGCCTTCCTTGTACACCCAGCCAGTCATGCCATCATTGTCCCTCTTCCACCAGTCTTCCCAGGCCTTCCCAGCCCTGTTGTAGTGTGTCCTTGGTGCCATGCTAACAGATCTGACTAATATGGTGACAACTTGGCCATGTGTGGCTGTGTGGACAGCAGCACATGCCCTGTCTGGCTGTCAGTTGGCATCTGGCTGGGCAGAAGCAGTTGGGCTCTGTGTGAGGGACCTGCAGCCCTGACAGCTGCTGTAAGGATCCTGCTATGTAACCATTGGTGTGGATGCATAGTTTGCATGCACATGTTGTATGCACACATGGAAATGTTAGCCAGAAATACTCTGTGCTGTTTGGAGGCTCCAGTTTTAAATACACATCAGGAAATATCAAAGCCATGATTCACATGGTGCCTGTAACAGGACCCTGTACTTGCACTTCCTAACAGTTTGCTCCACTTAATAATAAATGCTGTTAATTTTATGCCTTAATATAGACATGGATCCATGTCCTCTGTCTGTATGATGTGTTAAACACTTGGTGTTTCTTTCATTTCTGGTGGAGAGGGGAGGAAGAGTCAGGAATGGATATAGATGGGGATGTAGCAGAAGGGATATGTACAAAAAAGTTAGTGTAGGAAAAAAAACTTGGCAGGCCATCCTTTTGTGATTACAGATTAGCCAACAGCAGCATGTCTGTGTGTCTACACCAGCAGCCTTTGATATATTGATCTTGTTATCATATTAGGGCTCTAAGAAACCTGTAAGAAACGTGTCTTAGATGGTCCTTGGAGCTCTGTGGGAACATCACGGTGCTCTTGCAGTTAAGCTAAGTTAAGCTTTATGCATGGTTTGATTCTGTCTGATCGATTACAGATTAGCCAACAGCAGCATGTCTGTGTGTCTACACCAGCAGCCTTTGATATATTGATCTTGTTATCATATTAGGGCTCTAAGAAACCTGTAAGAAACGTGTCTTAGATGGTCCTTGGAGCTCTGTGGGAACATCACGGTGCTCTTGCAGTTAAGCTAAGTTAAGCTTTATGCATGGTTTGATTCTGTCTGATCTTAGCCTTTAATCTACTTTTCCAAATATCATACAGTTGTCAAATGTGGGTGGTAGAGCTGCACATTTGCATGGAAGCAGGTAAAAGCCTTCACTATGAAACAAGCAGCTGAAGCACCACGTGTGTGAATTCCTATGCTGGGAACGTGGTAGGTGCCTGCAGCTCTGTGCTAAGGAGAGGAGCTCCTGTTCTGCCTCGGAGACACATGAGGCTTTCACATGAGTCTCATGACAAAGACACAGGGCCCTGAAAACATGTTTCTACAAGAACAAGGAAGGGCTGGGGGAGTTTGGCTTGGTTAGCTTGGAGAAGAGGCTCGGGGTGACCTCATGGCTCTCCCCAACAGGGTTGGAGAGAGGTGGGGGATGTCTCTCCTGCCATGGCTGCAGGGAGAGGACTAGAGGGAATGGCCTTGAGCTGA